GATAGAATATTTAGGTGAAAATGCCTAGCAGACAATTGAAAATGAACTCAAGGTGAGGGAATAATGTGGGTCTAGATATATAAATTAGGAAATTGGTTTAGAGGTGAAAATTGAAGTCATGGAAGTGGATGAAACCGCCAAGGGAGAAGAGAAGAGACCACAGCATTTCTACAGGAAGTTTCACAAACTGGAAACTGGCTTCTGTTTCGGACTGCTACTATATGTCTGGCATCATCAGACATCTAATTGCTTATCATTGTAACTCCAGTTCTCAACCATCAGCCACACCCAGAAACATTTCTCCTTTCATTAAAAAAAAAAACACCTTTATCTTGACATGATCTGGCATTTTCACCCATTCTGTTAGGAAACTCACAGGTTAGGTAACTAGCTAACAATAGGTCACACAATACCTTATTTCCGAAAACTTAAAAAGTAATATATTTATTCTTTTAGTTGCCTTTCTTGATTACCCTTTCTCCCACTGACCTAACTGAAAGTGTTCTTTTCTAACTTTCCTAGAATACTTTGTATCTTTATTTGCCCCTATCACATCCTAATAAAATACCCTAAGTATTATACTTATCAGGCAGCTAGGTAGCAAAGTGGTTAGAGTGCTGGGCCCAGAGTCAGGAAGACCTGAGTTCAAATGTTTGAATACTAAGTGTGTGACCCTGGACAAGTCCTCATCTGTAAAATAAAGCTGGAGAAGGAAATGGCAAATCACTCCTGTATCTTTGCCAAGAAAATCCCAAATGGAGTCATGAAGAGTCGGGCACTACAGAAAATTACTAAACCATAGCATTATACTTAACTGTATAGGTAGTATATCTTCCCCATCTCCAATAAACTTTAAGATTTTTGAGGGAATGGACTGTGCCATTTCAAAAGAATTTTTGTATCCATAGCAGGTACCTCGGTGCCTTGCTGTTCCTCCCATACAGCCATAATAATAATGATAACCACACCATTTGTATAGCACCAGGCACTGTGCTTAAGTACTTTATAAATATTCTCTTATTTGATCTTCATAGCCCTGGGAGGTAGGTACTATTATTATTCCCATGTTACAGCCAAGGAAACTGAGGTGAAGTGAGTTGCCCATGATCACATAGCTAGTATTTTCAGCTAGATTTTAACTCAGATCTTTCTGGCCAGGTATTCATGAGTCCTGTATTCATGTGCCACCTAACTGCCTCAATAGTAATATAGCCTGCCATCTCGCATCTGAAGGCCTTTCCTCGGGCTGTTCAGCATGCCTGGCATTCACTACCTGTATATCTCAGCCTGTTAGAATCCCTTCAAAGCTAAGCCAACAAGCCATCGAGGATTTACTAAGCACTTTGTATGTGCTGAGTGCTGCGGATACTAAGGAAAGAATAGTCCCTAAAGTGCTGTGGTGCAAGGGGCCTTTCTTGATCCCATCCTCCACAGCAGCAAGATCCTCCCCTGAAATTACCTTGTGTAATACTAGCTTCGTCAAGCCTAAATTCTGCTACACTTCTATTTACCTTGTATATAATTTACATGTTCTTAAATGTATGCATACATGTTTCCCTGATAGAATATCAGCTCTGTATCCCCATCATGTAGTACAAGACCTGACATACAGCTAATAAATGCTCATTGATTGGTAAGTCCTAAATAAGTGTTTGTTTAAAAGGTTATTTAAATTCCCCAAAGATTCTAGTGTATATGATTATATATTTTAAGTGACTGAAATTTTCAAAATTCATGAAGTCTTTTGATGAATATTAAGTAGTAAATATTAAATCCATTCCCCCTTCCCATAGTCTACCCTAGCCTTAGTTTTTAATTTTCTTATTCTTTAAAATGTATTTTTAAACATTCATTTTTAAAAATTCTGAGTTCCAAATTCTCTTCCTCTGGCCTCTCCCCGACCTGTTGAAAAGGTAAGCAATATGATGTTAATTATATGTGTAAAGTCATGCAAAACATTTCCATATTTTCTTGAAAAAAAAATGTTTAAGAAGTGGGGGTGGGGGGGAGTATGCTTTAATTTGCCCTCAGAATTCATCAGTTGTCTTCCTAGAGGTGGAAAGCATCTTTTCATCATGGGTCCTTCTGAATTGTTTTGGATCGTCCTATTGATCAGAGTAGCTAAGTCTTCCACTGTTAATCATCATTACAGTATTGTTACTATGCACAATGTTCAGGTTCTGCTCACTTCACTTTGCATCAGTTCATAATAGTCTTCCCAGGTTTTTTTCTGAAACCATCCTGCTCATCATTTCTTTTAGCACAATAGTATTCCACCACATATACCATAATTTATTCAGTTGTTCCTCAACTGATGGGCACTCCCTCAATTTCCAATTTTTGGGTACCACAAAAGAGCCACTATAACTATTTTTGTATATGTGGATCTTTTCCCCTTTACTCGGATCTCTTTGGGATAACAGACCTAATAGTGGTATTGCTGGGTGAAAGGGTATGCACAGTTTGATAGCCCTTTGGGCATAGTTCCAAATTGTTCTCCAGAGTGGTTGAACCAATTCACATCTTCACCAGCAATACATCCCTACTTTTCTACATCCCCCCCAGCATTTATCATTTTCCTTCTCTGTCATGTTAGCCACTCTGATAGGTGTGAGGTGGTACCTTAAACTTGTTTTAAGTTGCATATCTCTAGTCAATGGTGATTTAAAGCATACTTTCTGATTTTCTATGAACTCACTTAAAAAAAATGGCCATCATGGGTACAGCCCTACATTGCCTTATAGGATTGAAAGGGTAGAATGTCCCCACTACTTGGTAATGCTCATTTTATTGGCCATAGCAAAAGTAGCCATACAAAGCCTTTTGTTTGTTTTCCAGAAGGGTGATACCCTCACTGCTCTTTCCACTCCAGAATTTGTGATTGTCAAATGTGTGAGAGTGTTTGGCACTCCTCAAAGTCCAGTATTTAAATGCAGATCAGTGCTTCTAAATTCTGGACTCTGAAGTAAAGTTGTTCATTTCAATCCAGACTAGATGTCCTGAGTACTTTCAGCTGCTTTTGGTAGGAATAAAGAGAGAAGGGGGTAATTCCTGGCAGACCACTGGTTGGGAAAATTGATTTTAAAGACCCGTGGGTTCCAATCTAGTTGGTCTCAGGAAGTTCTTGGTTTGATATCAGAACCTGAACACAGTCCCAAACCAATTTTGGTTTCTTTGTTGTGACAACAATCCTAATCCACACTTCCTTAGCCATCCTGGAATGGAGAGAGAAAAGGCCCCAATGTTCTGAAATACCAGCCAGGATTGTTTCATGTTTGTATACTGTCTATGTAGTTTACATATGCCAAAGATACTTCCTAGTTTCATGGCCCTGGGCACAAGGTCACTTAACCCCTTTGGGGCTTAGTGTCCTCCTCTGTAAAATGGGGATAATAATAGCACCTACTAACAGGGTGTTGTGGAGATAAAATTAGAAATTTCTGAAGCATTTTGCAAACCTTAATGCACTGGGTAAATCCTAGCTATTATAATTCTTCACTAATACTGCACTAAAGTATTCTAGCTGGGGCAGCTAGGTGGTACCATGAATAGAGTGCTGGATCTGAAATCTGGAAGGCCTGAGTTTAAATGAAGTCTCAGATACTAGCCTTGTGACCCTGGCCAAGTCACTTAACCTCTATTTGCCTCTATTTCCTCCACTGTAAAATGGGGATAATAATAGCACCTACCTGCCAGGGTTGTTGTGAGGATTAAATAAAATAATATTTTTAAGTACCTGGCATGGAGTTGGCGCTATGTAAATATTATTATTATTATGATGATGATGATTCTAGAGGTTTCCTCTTAGACATTAGTCTCTAGTTATTATGCCCTACTGCCACCAAAATCAAATGGAAAGTAATTTAAAAGCTAGTTCAACAGTAAATTTATTATCTTATCAAAAGAAAAATAAATGGAGAGAAAACAAAGATCCATTTAAAATTATAAAATAAAATATCAAATGAAATGCTAGATAAAAAGAGGCTGATTACCTCTGAATACAACTGTTGTAAAATTGTGTTTTTCCTGATTGGGATGGGTATTTGATCAAGATAAAGACTCTTGCTGGTTCCTATTCAAGTTTCTGATGTAAGCAATCAGCATATTGAATCAATCAAACCTCAAAGAAAATCCACTTTCTAAATTCCTTAGTGAAGTCAACTGTTCTCTACAGCACTTCCAGAAGCCAAATTCCAGAAGAAGAATGCAGAATATTGAAATATCTGAGAAAAGGACACAATGCCTCATATTTTGGAAAAATGCTTGAGATTTTGTAGTTGTCTAATGAGCATTGGAGGCACTATTTTTTTTTAAACGTAGTAGTGTCTCATGCAACTGCGGTGAAACCCCTCCCCTCATCCCAATTCTGAGGATTGAGACTCCACATGGCTCAAGTACTGAAGTGTACCGCTAAAGTTACCCCTAGGTCATTTGAGAACCATCCTTGAAAAGGTAGGTCACTTCTTTCTCTTTGTCGAAGGTATGAAACTAAGTGAGCCTGTTCCAGGGACTCAACTTTATAAGATAGTAGGATTTTTAGGACTGGAAGGGACTTAAGAAATCATCCAATCTAAACCCATTTATTTTCCAGGTAAGAGAACCAAAATTCCAGGGCTCCTTCCAGTACATGTGGGGTTAGGGAGACCGACCCATTTGTAACCACAACTTCCCTTTCCCAGGGTGATGGGAGGTGACCTGAGTGGCCAAAGAAAGCATTAGGCTGGATCTCGAAGGACCAAAGTTTTTTTCATTCCTGTGAGCCTTGCAGGACAAGCTGAAACGCAGGGCGTCTGATAGCATAAAGGCTGGAAAAGAAAAGCTTGGAGGGAACCAGTTCTAAGAAAAGGCAAAGGGTTGAGGGGAGTGGGGGGTTTCAGGAGGAAGGGGGTTCCCCAGGTTCCAGTCTCCTCCCCAATTCACAGCTGGCTCTGGTGACGTTGCGGTTTCCACCCCTCTCCCTCCGTCTCTCCCTCCTCCTAACTACCCCCCCCCGCCCCACTAGTGGAGCCAAGGCACAATCTCCCCTCCCCTCGGCCTCCCACCACCACACGCCCCACCCCACCCCCTGGCTTGCTCTCCTTACGGACCCAGTCCCTCCCGCCTGGCCGTAGGCTCAGGCGGCCAGCGCATCCCGGGAGGCGGTGGAGGGGCGCAGACCGAAGAGTTCCTAGCGCACATCCATGGAGCAGCGGGGACGGAGGGGCGCCAGGGGAGGAGGGCTTCCCCCACCCAAGGCTCCAGCCGCCATGGAGTGAAAACGGGGCGGCAGGGGCCGGAGAGCCCGGGCCAAGACGAGGAGCCTGCTGAGAACTGAGCGGCTGCAGCGGCCCGGGAGCGGTAAGTGGAATGAGTGAAGAAGGCGCGGGTGTTGGAGCAAGAGAGCGAGAGCGCTCGGAGCGCACAAAGTTTCCTCGGGCAAGTTTCAAGTTTGCCCGGGCCTCTTTGGGTTATAATGGGGAAGAGGCGTCCCGGACAGGAGCATCTCCATCAGAAAGGCTGGAGGATCAATGGAAAGTTACGGGCACCTCTAACTAGCACTCGCCCGCTGCGCTAGGGCCGAACTGGGCCGGGAGCGGAGAGCTCCGGAGCTTCCCAGACCCCTGCCTCCAAGAGAGAGGCTAGGGAGCATGGAGTGAAGCCACGAGTCGGAGGCTGCAGTGATCTGCACAGACAGTTTCTGCTACCTTCTCTCCTTTTGCCCCCTACTCAATTTAAAGGACCATCACAATGCTAGGTACACCGGCAGAGCCCAATACTATTAGACTGGTTATGGGCACATACGCCATCGCCCACAGCCCCTCTGTCTCCTGGGAATTGACTTCTCCCAGTCCTCATTTCTCCCCCCGCCCATCCCCGCTACTTTAACCCCTTGACGTGTTGGCATTACAGAGGGAGGGGTGAGAGGGGTACTCACAGGATCTTTGCTCTCTACAAATGGCCCAATTTGGTACTACAGAATCTTATCCGAGGAAGTACATCCCAAGCGAGAGAGAGAGAGAGAGAGAGAGAGAGAGAGAGAGAGAGAGAGAGAGAGAGAGAGAGAGAGAGAGAGAGAGAGAGGTTCATTTTTCCTTGAAGGAAAAAAGAGACTGCATTCTTGCCCCCCTTTCCTAACCCCCCAGTAGGTAGGATGTATTTTGAGAGAATTCATTGTGAAATTATTTAAGATTGGTTTCATTTCTGAAAAGAATCTTAAAGTCTGAATTTTGTTTATTGCTGCTAACACTTAGAACAGGAAATGCCACATTTCAGTTTTTCTGGGAGAGGCAGTTAATAAAGTCTTCATTTATTTTTCGACTGTGACTGCTTCGAAGCAGCTAGATGATGTTGCATTAAATTGAGGAAAGAACTTTCTCACTTAGAGGTTACTTCAAAAATTATATTTAAAGATTTGAGTTTATTTTTCAGACTAGGATTTTACTGGTCTAAGACAAGCCCTCTTTTTCCTAGTTTTCTGCTTATCTTTGTTCTCTAAAACTGGAATGCTGAATCTGTGGTGATTAACATGCATTAGTACTTCATATTATAGTATCTGAACTCAGATCTTCATGGCTTTGAGGCTAGCTCACTAACTACTGTGCCATGATACTTCTCTTTAAATATTAAATTTAACTAAACTAAACCTGTGGCTTTCAAAATTAAAGTTGGCATGCTTTTTTAAAAAAAATTGATATTTCCCTCAAAGCCCAGTGGAGTTCCCCAAAAAAAGACTTTGAAGGAAGTGGAAACTTAAAGCAGAACACATCATTATGTTCTTACCAACAAAGAAATGAAAGGTTCTGTTCTTAATTCTTTCTCAGAACTTATTTCAGGTTCCTCCTTTTTAGGTTGGGGACTACATATAAAGAAAGCACAATGTATTACCAAATTAGATATTCTGGAAGTCTTTTAGGAATATAAGATTGCCACAGAGTCCAGTTGTCCTGACAGTTTGACAGGCATTGCAGGATGAAAGGATTATTGCCCCTGACACAATTCTTAAAACACTTTCTTTGACCCCTTATTTTCAGTGAATAGTTCACTCTCAGATATTAAATCATTCATAAAGGGAATCATTAGATAAGAGCTGCTCCATACAATCATTTAAAAAATAATATACTGTTAATTTTCAGGATTCCTTTATTCATAATTGTGATACAAAAATCTTTTTAAAAACAACTCCTATTTATTTAATAGATTGTTTTATGATACCTAATTAAGATCCCGTTGTATTGCATGAAAAAAAAAATGGCCCTCACCTGATCATTATGATTTCAACTTAAGAGAAAAAGAGGAAGAGAAAAAAATTTGTGAAATACATGTCAGTGGTGTCTAACAGTTCTCACAAGTGGAAAGGAACTTCTAAAATAGTGTGTTGTAATTGCAAAATGCAAATAAATATTGGACTCATAATATCTTGATGCAAATATTTATCCTTGCTTCTGCTTTTTTTAAAAAGAGAAATGAGCAACAAAAATATTAGTTACAATTAGCATTATTAAAGCTTTTAAAGATTAAACATTAAAGCTATTAAAACTTAAAAACTGTACTTAGACTTTTGGGATATTCTGTATAAACTTCTTTAATATAGATAGATCGACAGACAGACAATATATAATGTATGTATGTAATCTATACATCCAAGGAATAAAATAGTTATATTGTGAGAGCTGATGAATTTCAGCATTTTTCAAAACTGAGAGTCCTGGTCTAAATGATTTCAAAGGTGCCTTCCAACTCTATAATTCTATGACTCTAGTTATCTAACTTCATTCTTGGGAACAAAAGAGTTTTCATTGGCTAGGTTGCAGAAAGCAGTTTCGAAAACTATCCAGGCAAAGAAAATGAGATGGAAAACATGAAAGTGTTGGTGAAGAGGACTGTGACTGTGTACTAACAAATTGTCCTCTCTATATATTCACATGTATCTAGGCATTTGGCATAGGGAAACAGAAAAAAGCCTCTCAGCTATATTCTGTCATGGCAACTTTTTAGAAATAAACAATATTCAAATGTAGTTACTGAAATGTAAAAGCTTTAATATAAATTACATGATAATTAATGCCTAGGATTTGTGTAATTTATATTTTTCAAAGTTTCTTTTTAAACATAGTACAGTTTATTTCACAATGAAAATAACACTCATTGGTCTAAGTTGAAATGGGTGCCATTGTCTGCATTTTACATATAAGAAACGGAGAGAAGTAAATGGATTTACCCAACCAAGATAACCCAAGTAGTTAGGGCCAACATGAAATTAACTAATAGAGGACACTTTATTGTGGAATAGTTGTTTTAATTTAGAATGTTGAGTTTTAAATCTAAAGGAGGCCTTAGAGTTCATCTAGTTTAATCTCTTCATTTTATTGATTAGGAAGCTGAAGCCAAGAGAAATTAAACCATTGCACAAGAATGGCTACATAGCTGCAAAAGTTAGTGACAGTTACTGGGATTAGGACCTAGGTTTCTTGGTTGTTAGTCCAGTCTACAGCCTCTACACCACGCTGCCTCTCTAGGCATGCTGCTGTATCACTATGTCAACACTCAAAATCAATGAATAAATGAATATTTTTTTTTATTGCTAAGTGTTTACTATATGACAAGCTCTGTACTAAGCACTGAGGATGAAAACAAAAAAGTAAGACAGACCTTGGTCTCAAGGAGCTCAGATTCTAAAAGGGAGAGACAACACTTTTAGCAGCACCAAAAGCTGCAAGTCAAATAGAAAATGCAAGTCATGGCCCTTAGGGTGTAACAGCAAAGCAGATGGTAATGAATCTTCAGTGTAATTTCCACTAAGAAGACCCCATCTTTTTTCTGTCATTGAACCATTTGCCAGTGCCAAGGTCTTTGATGGTGAGAACTTTGTTTTCCTGGTCTACATTAGCTGTGTTGGTGGTGATAGGAATGGGCAGGCCACTTTTCCATGATGATGCCTGTAGAAGCTTAACTATTTTATTGCTGTGATTAAATAGGTAACCCTGCCTGTAATCTTTGATAGCCTATAAATCCCAGTAGCTGCAAACTACACTTCATTATTAAGTTGATTACGCAGCTGTAAAGGATATGACAATAATGCAGGAAACTAACTCCTTAGAAAATTCTGAATTGTTTGCCAAGTTATAGAACTATATTTAATATTGTTTTACTTTCCTTAACTATAATAATATCTTTTTTTTCCTTGAATGATGTCAAACACTGAAACTAACTTTTTAAGGGAAATGACACACTAAAATAGAAAGGAAAAACCTGTAGGGAAATTTAATTACGTCAAACAGTAATATACACAGTTATGAAATATACAGCTATCTGGCATAGTAGATACAGTGCTAGGATTGAAGTTAGGAAGATTAATTTTCCCCAGTTCAATCTGGTCTCAGACACTTACTAACTGCGTGGCCTAGGCAAGTCACTTAATCCTGTTTGCCTCAGTTTCCTCATCTGTAAAATGAGCTGGAGAAGGAAATGGCTAACCATTCTAGCATCTTTGCCAAGAAAACCCCAAATGGGGTCACATAGAGTCAGACACAACTGAAAAATGACCGAAACAGCTTTGATGATGTCACATAGCATATTGACATTCCAGAAGCTTTAATTTAAATCTCAATAATGTTTTTTTTCCCAAATGCAGCTGCAGATTCTTTAATTTCTGCTCAACAAACATACATTATCTTACTCTTTTCCATATTAAATATTAAAGACTGAATCAGAGTTGAGGGCATAAGAATACAACAAATTCACTGAGATTTTAAAGAAAGCAAATATATTCGTGTTCTCCAAAAAAAAAAGTTTTTTATTGCCTTCATTTATTTCATTTCTCAAGAATTCCTAAAGCTTCCAATGCAATCAAGATTAGGATGGAAGCAGAAAATTGGGAAAGAATTTTTGCACCCAGTGTCTCTGATAAAGGCCTCATTTCTAAAATATATAGAGAACTGAGTCAAATTTACAAGAATACAAGTCATTCCCCAATTGATAAATGGTCTAAGGATATGAACAGGTAGTTTTCAGATGAAGAAATTAAAGCTATCTATATCATATGAAAAAATGCTATAAATCACTTTTGATTAGAGAAATGCAAATCAAAACGACTCTGAGGTACCACATCATAACTATCAGATTGCCTAACATGACAAAACAGGAAAATGATAAATGCTGAAGAAAATGTGGGAAAATTGGAACACTAATCCATTGTTGGTGGAGCTGTGAACTATTCTGGAAAGCTATTTGGAACTATGCCCAAAGGGCTATAAAACTGTGCATAGCCTTCAACCCAGGAATACCACTTTTAGGTCTGTATCCCAAGGAGATCATACAAGTGGGAAAAGGACCCACATGCCCCAAAATATTTACAGCAG